TGACAACAAATAAAGCTATTTACAGATGGTTGATGGCATCAAAACTAAAAAATTTTGCACGAAGAAAGTCCGTTAAAACAAATATAGTCCGTTGTGATACAGAAGTGAAAAGAATTTCATATAATATACATAATGTATGAAAAAGTGCAAGTATGTAAAAGGAAAAAAAAGAAATGCGTAATTTACACAGTAAAATGAGTTGCTAACAAAAGTTTGTAATGTTATTTAATGCTTCTAGTTTGTATATGAATCATTGCATATCCATATACATTAAAACTCAAAAGCGTTGTCTACATATACATGTTGCTCATTTCAATGACTCGTATATATTGTTATTATACATACATGCATACATATATACATACAAACATACATACAATAACTGTTTATAGAGAATCCAGTTAAAGTTAATAGTCAGAACTGAGCTTAGAATTCGAAAACACAAAAACAAAAAAAATTTGTCACTGCCAATTCCTTTCCAAAGCTACACCACCAGCTGCAACCTTATTTGCGACTTTCTTCGCAATAACCATTCGTATATTTTCAATATCTCCACCCCCAAGTGGTATGGTACTATTTCCAGTACTACTTCGCTTCCCTGAAATATTTGCAGTAGCACTTGAACCCATGCTATTTGCAGACGAAGCACTTGAACTGCGTTGCATTAAGGTTGGCGGTTTTGGAAGTAATGGGGGAGGTGTAGAAGAACGTGGTTCCTCTAATGATCTGCGTGATGTAATAGGTTTGGGATTGGCTGAGGATGTACGTCCATGTGCTTTTATAAAAGTTGCGGAATGATTTTTTGGATTCAATTCTCCACTGGACGAACTTCTGGAATGAGAAGACGACCTTATCATAGCGGTAGGGCTCTTTAGTGAATCGCCAATTTCATGCCCTCCATACATCACCCTCATAGCACGCCAACTTGCCCTTTTATTACTAGTTTGTTCAGAATGGGATCTGACAATTTCTTCAGAGCAATCATCATATAGAGAATCAGTATCTACATCCCCATTCTTGTTCTTTTCCTCTTTTTCTTTTTCATCTCGCGCTTTATCTAAACTACTTCGAGAACCAAAGAGGAAGCTTCCAATACTTCCAACTTTTTCGGTAATATTTCTTTTCTCTTTTATGCTACCACTTTCTTTGTCTGAAACGGGCCCAGCCCTATCCGATTTTGAAGTAACTGATACAGTTGGAACCGTATCAACTACTTCTTCAAGACTATGCGGTCGCGATTCACCACTGCCACTGGTTGAACTCGTCCTTCCTACACCACTACTTGTGTTAGTGCTCGTACCACTTCCACCAACGGTGCTTCCGGTACTCCCACGTTGGGCACCATTTGTGTTCGAAACCGTGCTACTTGGAGGTCCACTCCATGAAGCGGCACCTGGTGCTCGATTATTACCACTATAAGAATTCTTATGAGGTTCGCGCAAGGAACTTAATTCATCAACGCTCTTTTGTGGAACCCACACGCGTGTTAATAAATAATGCGTTATCAATTGTTGTTTTTCTTCAATCATTTCATCCTCATCATCGTTTCTATTATAATATTTATTTACACCGGATCTATGCAAAGCAGCACTTATACTTGCAGTGCGAAAATGATGCTTTGTTGAAGCTTTTATGTAAGAAGAAGGAGGTGAAGAGTAATATTTTGGACCATTTTGATAACGATGCATAGTTTGCAACATTTCTTGAACACGAGGATCATCATGTATCCCCGTTGGGGAAGACACCGAACGGGACGCGACAGGTGATTGGACGTTATTGGACAATGGAGCAGAAGAATTTGAAGAATATTTTACAGCAGCAAGCAGGTAAGTGGCATCCATAATAAAGGTTCCTAAAAATGGTATTGTAGGTTTTCTCAGGAATCCATCGCGTTGTATCATTTCCCGATATTTTCCGTAATTTCTTGCTTCACTCATCATTTCATTGAGAGCGTCCAATTTAGCCATACTCTTTTTTGGAATACAAGCCCAAGTTCTTTTTAGTCTTTTGATAGGTGTAGTACCTAATGCAGACAGAACTGCTTTTAAAGTCTGAAAATTATGCAATTCATGCAGTTTTCCAGCTACTTTAACCCAATGATTTATTATTTGAGCACGTAAAGAAGCCTCTAATGGCAATAAAATCGAACGTTCTATAATACGAGTCAAATAATTGAAAAAGTCAGTTGAAGCAGTAATCTTTGGGTCTGGATTTTTAGCAGAATGAGAAAGTAAAGCATATGGGTCAATTTCCAAAAATATAGCAGATTCAATAAGAGTCAGTTGATAAGCTATCATATGAGGAGCAAACTCTAAAATATCCGGATCGGAAGCCGCTTTATACACAAGTTTACGAGATCTTGTTATTGATTGTTTAAGGCCGGCTACGGTTGAACTGTATTTCGCAATAGCTTCTTTGATTTCTTCATTTGATAATTCGGACCATGGTTGTTCACCATTATTATTTTCAGTATTACCCTCCTCCCTCATTTTTGTTATCGCACGATATTCAGCTAATTTTGATTCTAAAGTCTGTATTTTTTGTTCCATTTGAGCGTGTTGAGTCAACAAAGGAGAAGAAGGAATATCAGGAACATGATCCACATATTGAGAAGACGAAGGAGAACTTGGAGATTGATAGTTGTCATCATTAAGAGTTGTAGCAGGAACCAAGTTATTTGGATCTACAGCGCCTTCTGGTATAACATTAATCATTTTTTGACGTTCAAATAAATTTGGCAGCGATGGAACCGATAACGCACCGTAAAAAGACGCAGGGGTAGCAGGTGAAGTTAAATGAGAAGAATAAGGACTCTCTTCGTCTGTAGGAGAATCGGTTATCGAACCATTTATTGTTGATCTTCTCTTTGTGGCAGGAACACTGGGAGACGAAGACCTTCGTCGGTGCAAGGCGTGAGAAGAGTTTAAAGATGGATCAGATCTACGATGAAAAGATTCTATAAGATAAATTTTAAGCGGGTAAGAATCCAAGATGTAAACAAAATATTATTTCACATGATACACATAATGTTAATTACCACGCCCACGTATATAACCACCGTCATCATCGGAGTCTGAACTATCAACATCATCATCGTCATCACAAACAGCATGGACATCATTACCATCAGCAGGAACTTCAACATCACCGGAAAGTCTTTTCATACTTGGCCTACGAACAGGCTTTGGAGGTAGAGGTGGTTTCGTAATCGGAGAAATTGGTTGATCACTTTTTGGTGAAGTTTGAGATGACCCACCATCGCTCACCCTTGAAGATCTTCGGGTTGGTTTTGGAGGTATTGGAGGTGCTTTATTTTGCGGATCAAGTGGATATTCTGCTTGTTGTGGTGTAGGAGGATATATGGCTATGTTAAGGTTTGGATTTTTTCTTGTTGATGAAGGTGATAAAGGAGCAGTTTGATGTTTAACAATTATATCTTCTGCATATGATA